CTTCCTGTCCACTATTTCCGTCGCTCGAGAAACGGGATGAGCCATCCATGGGCCCTCCGTCGCTCGATCGTCGCGTCGAACAAGGGGGGGGGGGGGGGGGACGTGCAACAAAAAAACCAGACCCTGACACAGGCCTCCAGCTGCGACACCGCAAACGGCCCCACCACCCACCGCCCCCCCCCCCCCACCCCGAAGGCCCGCCCGCAAAAGGAGAGCGCGCAAACAGGGCATCCATCACGGGGCCGGGTGACGCCGCGCGCCGCGTGTGGGTTTTTGTAATTAATAACGGCGTCACTCGCAGGGGCCCACGGTAAGAAGAGGTGGCAGGTTAATTGCGATGATTTCAGTTCCGCCTCGCCGATGCCGCCACGTTGGGCTGTTCCGCGGCTTGTGGCGGGTTGAAGGAGTCGCCCGAGAGAGGGCCGTCCTCCCCGGCACGTTTCGGTCGCACGGTGTTCGGGCGAGCGAGACGGGGAACCCGGCTCCGCTCCGAGGAGGAGGTGGATTGTCAGGGATTGGTGGTTCTCACCGTTGTGTGTGTGATGCTAGTTTTAAAGAAAGCGATGGCAACAAAGAGGAAGTGGGACTACACGGCAGGTTCTGATAGCAAGCACCTATTGAGGCTGGCAGAATATGAGATGAGGTGGTGGATTCCAAAATTACTCCAGGTTGCCTTTGTCACCCCAGTTGTGATGTTGTCGCGCAGCACCAAGTACTCATTTTAGGCTGAATGGACCTTGCAGAGCCACAAGCCAAGTTCATCAGTTGCCAGTTGCATTGTGCTTAGTGACTATCAGTCGTATGGACCCCACTGGGTTCATGGTGCGGGTCACGCCAACACTACACGCACACTGTGTCCGAGCACTTTAGCAACGGTGACGATACGAACCGTCACAAACAATAGCACAGATATATTCGTCAATGCGCATTTACACGATGCCAGCCGTCGGACCTTTTGACCTTCACGCCGCATAACAAAAGCCGATGGCCCATTCGTCTCGTGCGTCCAGAACCGCTTTCTTCGTAACCGCTTCCAGAGTACGGGGTGGGGGTGGGGGAGGGCGGTGGGGGTGGCGGGCGGTTGGGGGCAATGGGAGTGGGGGCGCAGGGAAATGCGCGTTTGTGTGGCCCAATAACCAATGTGGCGCCCACGGCAGCTTCCGGGAGTATTACAACCTTCACCTTCAACCTCTGTAGCTGAAAATCAATCTCAGGCGGGGTGTCGCAATCCGCGCCACTCCCTGAAAATTCCATTAAGAGGTACCTTGGGCGCGCAGTGATTGCTCACGCCACTTGTACTCCTGGGTAGGGGAGGGCGGCTGTGAGCAATCGATTGTATTGACGATCGATTATTAAAATAATCCATCTTATTTAATTAAGTAGTTATTGGTTGCGTCCCTAGCTGTTATTACGCGACTGCGCGCGTGCAGAGGCTTTATCCGATGAATGGGAGCGGGAAAGCGTTTCACACTAAAAATTTGCATGGAATTGCTATTCCTGTTGACATTTTTACCAGTAAAGATGTGCATTTAAATTCAGATCGTAACACAATATTACTTTTTAAAATGTGCATTATTTTATTTTATTTATGGCCCTTTGTCAATCCACCGGCTGCACGAAGGCCCATCCATACCGTGTAAGCAATGAGAGGTTACGCGGCCATTATTGACTATGCTAGTCACTGCCTGTTGATTAAGTGTGAGGCCAGGACCCATCGAGATTTCGCTCACCACTGATTCTTTTAGCCGTGACCCAGAATTGAACTCAGGTCATCGGGTTCACAGAGCAGTACACCGCTAACCACTACGCCACATCTGGCGATTAATGCTTTTTGAATCACGCAATCACTGGGGCATTTTCACAAAGCTCTAAAAGAGCGAAGTGCAAGCCGAGGAGAGCCCTTGTAGGTGATCGCCGTGTCGATTTCACCTCGTTACGGAGTGACCGTGGCTCTCCCAGGGATGCACGCTCGCCTCCCACACACTCGCGCAAAGCAAGTTCGCGTGAGCGCAGGATTTAGACATTGTACAGTCATTGCGTGGGTCCGAGCTCAATAACAAAAATCCCTTTAACCACCCTGAGTAGAATGTTTCCTGAGTTTAAACCAGGGTTGAGGATTCATTTAATACGGCCTGAGGCCACACGAGGCCGACCACTTTGAAACAGCCCAAAAAAAAATCACAATTATGAGCCACTGCAAGCGGCTTAGACGCGCTGGTCGGCTTACTTGAGGGAAATACTGGCAACGCTGTGCTTCTGATGTTATCACTTTGGTCACTGCGAGAGGTCCTTGCAATTGCAGAAGTGACTGAGGTGTGTGTTAACGTGTGACTTGCCAAACGTATTTGAATGCCCTGTTTGGCCATTCGTAAGAAAAAGGTCCCCCCCCCCCCCCCGTCGCTGAATTAAACCCGCTTTGGCTGTCCCTTTGGTTATTCTACGCAACTGTCCACTGATATGCTGTGGAGAAACGACGGCAGTGCTGGCGCCTCGTGTCTTCCGTGGAGGCTTCCCCTTGAGCGGGACCGGCCACGGCCTTGAAGGCAACGGGGAGCCGCCATGCTCGACTGTGCCACTGATTTGCCGCATATCTGCGTCCCGCGATGTTATTTTAGCAACAGCAAGATGCGGTGACAGCTGCCGCGGTGATGTGTTACTCATGAGACGGCGGCCGAGGAGGCTGCAGTGATCGCTTGTAGTATAGCACAGAGATCTTGGTCAATGAGATGACGGTGGACGCGACGGGTTTGGTGGAACGCCACACGGCGCTCCCGTTTACACGGTCTAAGTGTCGCGGAGACTTTAGCTCAGACGGGACGAGGTTTCCTGGCTCGGTTGGGAAGTTGGGATTGTGGTCTGGAATGTGACCACATGGACTGTTTTTTGTTGTTTGTGCATCTCTGTTTTGATGCCATTTATTTATTTACTTATTTGTTGTTATTTTTTTTATCTCGCTTACAGGTAGGGTTTTAATTTGCTTGCCAGTGATTGTACATGGGATTTGGTCCTGATATATAATCAATGTACGGCGTTATGGGATGCTTTAAGCATGAATGACGCTATGTAAAATGAAAGTATTATTATTAAAGGTGACTCTTCGGCCTTTGACAACTACGGCGTTGAAACACATTTGTAGAGGCAGTAATTTGTGTGCAGTGGTTGGGTTGTGTGGCCAGCAAGACAGTTACAAGTTCACACCCCAGCCTGGATTCAGCTCGGTCCCTTATATCATCTGGAATCAATCAAATGAGTTCAATGTCATAGGCTTTTGGCAATGGGTGTCTGACTATGCTTGACCCCTCACCACTCGTAACGTGGAATTTCCACTACCTGCTCAGGGCTGTGAACAGGACCTACGCACCACCCCACTGCCAAGATGGTTCAAGCCAGAAACAACAAAAACAACAAGAGTAGATAATAATAATAAAAAATGGGTGGATCAGTGGTGCAGTGCTTAGTGCACTGCAATATGATTAGCCCAGTGACGTGAATTCGATTCCCGACGACTTCTAACGTCAGCGGCGAGTGATATCTGAACCTGTCCCGAGTCCGCGTCCTCTACCAACCCACACTGACCAGGGGTGATGAAATATCATCCCACCAATGGATACAGCATTGAGAGGCCTTCATCCAGCAGTGGATTGACAAAGAGGGGTGTGAATTTGAACGCTCGAGGTACACGCGGTGGGCCTTAAAGGTGGCCTTCAGAGAGCCGTTGACATGACTCGGCAAGTTGCCCCCCCCCCCACCCCCGTACACTCGTCGGTTACCCCTGCATTGACCGTCGGTGCCCTGCGGTGCCTCCGATGGGGCTGGGTGGTAAGGAAGGCAGATCCTGCCCACTGCGTATCTCACTCAGCACTGCTGAATGTTTCTTTAAGCTTCTTTTTTTTTCTTAGACATGCACAGAGGTGACTGGGAGAGCAAAGGTGGTAACAAATCCCAGCGCCGCTTTTCAAACGAGGCTCCCAGCTACGGCTCACCACCCCACCACCCCCGCGCGGTTGAATAAAGAGTAGCTGCTCCCGAGGTCCCTGTTTGGAAGGTATGCGGAATAAAGGGAACTTCCCCTGACACTGGCTCCCCAATTGTAGTGTGAAGAATTGTAATGCTGGTGAGATTTATAACAACACAAAAAAAATGTCAAGGCTTCTCCCTTTTTTTAAGAGGCTCATGAAATATTTAACAACATTCTTTACGTGCAGGCCTCCCATTGTTCATTGATGCTTCGGGCCATTTTTTTTTGTTCACACTGAAACTTTCAGCGCAACACCACGGGAGTTGTGTGTGGGCTTGAGCTCCGAGTACTACCATCGCTTGCCCGGTTGCGGCTTGGCAGAGGACGTGTCCGATATTAGCGTGAGCCTTTTTTAATCGCAATTTAATGCTCCTCATCCTGCGTTGGACTCTCGCCGGCAGCGCGTTCCCGTAAGCGGTGCGAGGCGTTGTGCCGGTTCCCCGGTGCGCGCCGCTCCCTCGCCGCTCTCCACACGGTCGTGTGAGGAGTCGCGTTGCGGCAGAGCAGTTCCAATGCATTGTTACACTTCCATTTGTAAGAACTAAACTATAAACTCTCTTTTATTTTACTAAGTAAGGCGCACTGCGCTATATACCTCTCTTTTTCAGAAGCGATCTAGCCACAAATGATAGCTCAACGAAGTGACTCATCATGTGGAAATGTATAGCAGTCAAATACTCTAAACGCATGTTTCTCAATGTGGAGGGAAAAACCCTAAGAACTGGAGCGAGACATGGAAACTCCAAATATACAGGCGTCAGTGTCGGGATCGAACCCACAACTTCCTTTATATCAGGCACCCCTACTACAGATGTAAAAAAATTGCAAAATGGTGTACAAAATGAGCAATTTTATTGTTAAGCCTAACAACTTATTTGTGGAGGAAAAAAAAACCCCACTTCTCTTGCTGCGACCTAGGCTGACAGATTGAACACATCAGAGTCTCCGGTTGACGGTGCCGCTTGTATTTCGCACCCGCCAGGGAGGAGAAGGAGCGCTGGATCCGTGCCAAGTATGAGCAGCGCCTCTTCCTGGCGCCCATCCCCTACGCGGACGCCTCGCTGGGCCAGACGCTGTGCCGCGCCGTCCGCGCCGGCGACCTGCGCTTCGTCGTGCTGCTGCTGGCGCACGGCACGCGCAGCGACGTCAACGAGCCCGAGGAGGACGGCGATGATGACGATGACGACGACGAGGGAGGTGGGGGCACCGCCGGCGGCGGTGGCGGCGGCAGTCGTCGTCGTGGTGGTGGTGACAGCATGGCCTGCACTGCGCTTCACCTCTCCTGCGCTCTGCCCGACGTCGTCATCACGCAGCTCCTCGTCTGGGTGCGTGTAGGGATCCCAATGCCCCTCCTTATTCTTCCTCTTATTTCGTTTTTGTCGTGAGATCGGTGCTGGGCTTTCGTAACTTTGTGACGTTGTTTTCACCAGGCCTCGTGGACGAAATGTAATGTTTTTTCCCAGGAAAGCCTCCCTTTGTGCCCCGAATAGTTCTCTCCACCATAAAACAATTATTGGTCTCAAACTCCTGAATGTGACACATTCCCAGAGACCCCAGGGTCTTGGAGCCAGAAAATAATGCCAATTCTTTACCCAGGAAAGCCACACTGATGCTCAAGAGGAGTCTTCACTTGCGCAAGCAGACGTTTAATCCTAAATGTTTTTTTTTTTTACAGCACATGCCTTAGCGTGTCTATAGAGTTCAGTTCGGACACTCGGCACATTCGTCATAAACACTGCCTTGAAACATAAAGAGAGGATAGGGTGGAGACATTGGGGTTTGATTCACAGCCCTGGGGAAACCATCAGTGTTGGTAAGCGATATCTGAATCGGTCCTGGGCACCACCTTCGTCAACTCGCACTGAGCAGCGTGAAGTATAAGTCTTGAGAATTCCCATGACCGACATGGCGTGCGGAATCCTACATCTCATAGATTAGGCTGGTGTTTCGGGCAATGTTCCTTCAGCAGAGCAGAGAGTCCCTTTCGGCATTGTTCATGAAAAATGTGGCGAATTTCATATATATTGCACTTGTAGCCAACCGTGCTAATCCCTGAATTGTGTTGGTGAATTTATTCCCCCATCCTGGCGATGCACGCCTTCGGCTCTCCCGTGTAATGAACCCTCCCACACCGGTCCGCGTGTCTCTCCCGCAGTACGGAGCCGACGTCCTCGCCCGCGACGCGCTGGGCCGCACGCCGATGACGTACGCGCGCCAGGCGCGGTGCCAGGAGTGCGCCGACGTGCTCGCGCAGCACGGCTCCCCCACCGACCACGAGCCGGGCCGCTACCCGCCGCCCAGGTTCGCCCTCTCGCCACCACGGGGGGCGGGCGGCGCATCCCTCGCCAACCACGCCAAGCAGCCGAGCGGGGGACCCGGCTCCCGGCAGGGGTTCGCCGCACCCAGGCTGGGCAACGGATGAGTTCGCCACCCCGCCCCCACACCCGCCCACTCCCCCCACCCCCCCCCCACCCGCCCGCCTGCCCCCCTCTTCCCAGCGACGTCGGACTCGACGCCGGCGGCCCCCCGCTGACCAACCAACGGGACTTCCGATTGAGCCATGCTGCGCAGCTCCACGTAGCTGGAACATTTGTAGGGAACGTTTGTAGTGAGTGAGCGTTTAACAGGAACGATCTTACGAAACTTTAGCGGTGAACGTTTTGCGATCGCATTGCCCGCACGGTGAGGGTTTTTTTCTGCTATTTTCACGCAGGCAGCTTGCATTATGTTGAGACCTCACCGTCGTTCGAACGGCAGTTTAAAGTTTTTTTTATTTTTCTGTTTTAATCGGCCACAGGGAAATGATCGCATGTGGCTTCTTGAAGAACGGTTTCCATTCACACTGCGAAACTGAGATATGATCAAAGGGATTGATGGTATTCAGCTTCGGTCTGTGTGGTGTATCATTACGGCCGGAATGCATTCGCAGAGCCCGAACATGTGCTCGCCCTCTCTCCCTCTCATCTGCCAAAGTGATCACAGAAGACACATAAGTAACGTGTGAAAGAATCTTATTTATTTATTTATAATGCTCATGAGTTTTAAAAAAAGATGTACATATTTAAACCCAATTATAGTTTTCGGATGAGCCGATTCAACTTTTTTTTCGTCAAGAAAGTTTCACCACACGCAAAAGAAAGGGAGAAAGTTTAAATTGGCGCTTGACAAGTGTGCGTTCTAAACGTTAAAAGAGAAACTCAACATCAAACACAATGGCTAATTGTGTTAAGAAGAAATCTACGGTTGGCTTGAAAATCGGCCCCGTGTCTGGGTCGCGTGTCTTTGATGGCGCAGATTCTCGTCGTCGTTAGACGAGGGCAATAACCGGTCTGCGCACGATCGACCAAACGAAACACCCGCTGCCTTAATTCCACCACCTTTACATATCCACTGGAAGATGAGGGATTGTCGAGACTGAAGGGGAGCCATCCAGCAATAAGACTCAAACTTTTATAGCGATACAGATCGGTAATAAAAACCCTCCGTGAAGTGGCAAGCACAATATTTGATCGTAAGCGCCTTGGTGTATATTTCTTTTGTTTGTAATCGATACTTAAGAGGTGGGGAGGAGGGGGGGGCACGTCGGTGTAAATGTGTGTGCTGCGTTTACAGTGATGTACAAAGTACTCCTTGTACCTTTTTTCAGCATTAGCATACACCTCTGTGAACGCCGCGTGCAGGCATGACAGGGTATATTATTCACTCGCTGTGAGCACGGCAGAGGTTGTGCGCTACGCGAGGAAGCCACATTAAAGGGCAGGTTCGAGAATCAAGTCGAACCCATCAAAGGAGAGAAAGCAACCTTTAGATTTAGACAGCAGTCAGTGCGGGGTAATTGGCAGCAAGCGGAAGGCTCTTCCAGACACAGAGAAGAGAGAAGGAGCGAATCTCCCAGTGAGCAGGGAAACTTTGATGGGAAGTCAAGACAGAGGGAGAGAAGAGGGTGGATCAGAATTAGAATATTTATTCATACTGCAGACACCCAATGAGCTATAACTCTCTTTTTCACAAGTGACCAGTAGGGCTGGGTCAGTACGTCACAACAACAATGCTGTGCGGGTAATTGGACAGACTTCCCCTTTTAGGGTTTTCTCTTCTTTTCTGTGGTGCAGCTTTGGACCAGCAAAAGCGGTGGCTGCTTTAGCCTCGTAGGCACAAGTGGACAACAGCCATAGCCACACAAACTCGCGCGCCCAGGACACTCACAGCGCTGGCATTTCACAGGAAGGGGGGAGCCTTGGCGGGTTTCGTGACCGAAATTTACCTGCTGGAAAATTGTCCTTTAAAATTCGACGGCGACGTGTGATAAATCGCCATCGCCGTTGGTCGTCAGCGGAGATGGATGGATCATCGTATGCAGCAGTGCTCATCGCATCCTCAACATCATCTCCGGCAGACATCATCATCCTCCTCAGCTGCAGCAGAAGCATCAGCTGTGGCAGCAGTCTCATCATCAGCTGTGGCCGCAGTCTCATCATCAGCTGCGGTAGCAATCATCAGCTGTTATTAATGATCACCAACTGCGTCAACATTCATCACCGTTCACCACCACCGTCGTCATCGTCGCTGTCAACCGTCTCGATATTTATTTTTGCGAAGCGCCTTTCCCACACAAAAAAAAACATACGCAGTGTAAACGTGTACGCGCACGCGTGCACGTTTCATACTTGTCAACCCATTCTTGTAGAGGGAAATTGAGTTTTCAGGTCCATATGGCATACAGCCGTTTCAATACGGGCAAAAAAAATGTGTTTGTCTATTTGTTTGTGTTTCTCCCTTGTGATGGGACTTTGTAGGATGAACGTTGAGTTTTATAAAGGGCACGGGGTGACCAATAAGGTCTGAATTGGTCTGTAATAAGGTAGGCACTGATAAGGGGTTGACAGGTATGATGCGTGTGTACGCGCGTGTGTGGTTACGCGTGTACGCGCGTGTCAGTCCACGCTTGTGTGTGTCCGCACGTGTGTGTATGCATGTGTGTGTGTGTGTACGCGTGTGTGTGTGCGTGTACGCGTGTGTGTGTACGTATGTGTGTGTGTACGCGTGTGTGTGTGTACGCGTGTGTGTTTCACGTCGTGTGTGTGTGTACGTGTGTATGTGTGTGTGTACGCGTGTGTGTGTATGCGTGTGTGTACGCGTGTGTGTGTGTACGTGTGTGTTTGTACGCGTGTGTGTGTACGCGTGTGTGTGTACGCGTGTGTATGCGTGTGTGTGTGTGTATACGCGTGTGTGTACGTGTGTACGTGTGTGTACGCGTGTGTGTGTACGCGTGTGTGTGTGTACGCGTGTGTGTGTGCACGCGTGTGTGTGTGTGTACGTGTGTGTACGTGTGTACGTGTGTGTACGTGTGTGTGTGTACACGTGTGTGTTTCACGTCGTGGTTGCGCACCGCCGCAGCATTGCGCTGGCAAACTCGTCCGCCGCTAGTAGGTTACATAAATGTAATGGATGCTGGGAGCGGCGCGTGTGTAATGTGGATGTAAATGGGCGAAATGTTTCCCCCCCCCCCCCGATGTTGCTCTTTTATGGCACTTGTTTGCTGACGGTGCTGATGCTACGCAGTGTGCACCGCGGAATAAGTGAATAACATCTCTCGGAGACAGGGGGGAACGTAAGGATTGGATAAACAACAACAACATTCTCCATCCCCCCACCTCGCCCCACCCGAGATATGAGCCACAACGAGCCAGGCCCTCCAAGCCCCCCCCCCCCATTCCGCTACCCCAGTCCCCACTCGTTGGTGTGAAATAGCGAACAGTTTGGCTGCGTGGTGAGAGCACGGCACGCGCATCTTGGGGTTTGTTTAGCGAGATCGGGGCGGGGGGGGAGGAGGGGACCCCCCACAGACAGAAGAGGACTTGTACTGTTTTCTCTTGTGGAGCTTAATTAGCGCTAATTAAGCTGTGAGCGGCCTAATTTTTCACCGTGGCCTGGCTTCCTCCGTGCTGGAGGGAGTCTTGCTTTTTTTTATCGGTGACATCCCCTCCACTGGCTGCCCCTCGACCTCTCTCACCCGTCCCCATCGCCACGGTGTCATGCAGGGGGGTGCCTTCCTTTGTGCGTGCGCTTGCGCGGGGGCGGTGCGCTCATCCTGGCCGGCCTGAGTGTGATTCCCGGCCATGGTCGACATCAGTGGCAAAAAATATCTTCTTACAGTGAGTGGGTCCTTGTCTCTTCCCACGCGGTCAATTTTCAGCCTTAATTGAGCGCCTGTTGCCACGCATAAAACACACCGGCATTTGGCGAGACGAGGGCGGTCATGCGCTGGGGCCCGACAAAACCGTTCCCCGGATGACACCGTGCCGGCCTTTGAAAAAAAAAAGGTGCCCTCCGACGGGCACTCGCTCGTCGCCATCGCAGGCGACTCGGGGTTCAAGCCCGTCGATGCAACAGCCGCACAGCTGCACGGCGGATTGACGTCCCCACTCTGGAGGGCGAAGCGGGTGTCGCTCAGAATTCCCCCGTGCTCTTCTTGTCCCGAGCGACGGTCGCACTGACACCAGTTGGTGACGTTTGGCGCACGGTACAACGGCGCAGCTGACTCCTAACTACCCGGCGAGTGGCGAGTGCAGGACGTGCACAAGGCGACCGTGAATCCATTCGCGTGTTGTTATTCTGTCGTGCGACATGCGTGTTGTTATTCTGTCGTGTGACGCGTGTGTTGTCGCTGCGTGTCACTGTGTGCGACAAGTGATTGACTCCTTATGTATATTCGTATGTGCTGTATATCTTTGTGCCACTGCGTGAGACTCCGTATGCGTGTAGCAGTGTGTGGGCGACTGTGCGCGTGTATCACTTGAACCTAGTTCATTCATGGTATCATAAGCGGACCCTGGTCACTCAAGGTTCGACTCGGCCTTCATCAATAATCATTCGTCGTGTGTCGGCTGCGGTGTATAGACATCAGCACTAGGGAGACAAAGGCGGCCGGGCGTGGTACTGACCACATATCACCCTCTCGTGCGCCACTTTGATAGGTGCTCGCGTTTTTTTTTCTATGAAAGGCCATGTGGGATGTCTTTGTATGTATATGTGTATATTAATGTGTACGTGTGCATGTTTGTCGCAGTGTTAATACAGTGCACGTGTGTGCGTGTGTATCACTTTGTATCGTTGTGTGGGGAGCGGTGATGCAGTGGTTAGCGCACTGCGCTGCGAACCCGCCGACCCAAGTTTGATTCCTGCTCACGACCAATAACGGCGGCGCACGTTTGAACTGGCCATGGTGGGCCCTCCCTTTTGTCAAGTCTGCCTTCAATGAGTACCTGGTGCGGTGTGTACACATTAGCGTTGGGGAGGAGACGTAGAGCGGCCGGGAGTGGTGTTGGCCACCCACACACACACACATTTGCCGTGCCGGCCTTCATCGGTGCTCGCAAGTAGCACTATACCCAACAGCGCGTTAAAAGGCTATGCGGGGGGGGGGGGGGGTCTTTGTAATGTCACTGTGAGTGTGTGCGCACCACTCCGTATGTGTGTGTGCGTGCACCACATTATGTATATACCGTATGTGTGTGTACCACACTTTACCGTAGTGTGTGCAAAGCCGTCCCTATGGTACGGTGAATTGGGGCGACTGCCCCGGGCCCCGCGCTTTGAGGACCCCCCCCCCATAGCGCTTCGACGTCACGGTGTGTCAGATGGTTTAGTTTGAAGGCCCACGCAGAGGGAATTTGCCCCGGGCCCCGCACCCCCCTATGTACGGCCCTGTGTGTGTGTCACATTCTGTGTGTGTGTGCCACATTCTGTGTGTACCACATTCTGTGTGTTCGCCACATTGTGTGTGTGTGTCACATTCTGTGTGTACCACATTCTGTGTGTGTGTGCCACATTCTGTGTGTACCACATTCTGTGTGTGCCACATTGTGTGTGTACCACATTGTGTGTGTGTGTGCCACATCCCGTGTGTGTGCCACATCCCGTGTGTGTGTCACATTGTGTGTGTACCACATTGTGTGTGTGTGTCACATTGTGTGTGTACCACATTTTGTGTGTACCACATTGTGTGTGTGCCACATTCTGTGTGTGTGGCACATCCCGAGTGTGCGCGCGCGTTTACACGCGGGCGGGCAGCCTTAACGTGTCGCCGTGGAGGGGGGGGGGCTGGAGGGGTTGTTTCTGTCGTTTTCTCTTCTCCCCCCTCTCTCTCCCTCCCCCCTCTCTCGCTGTCTGGGCAAGGCGCATTATAAATCTGCGGAGGGGTGCGCGTTTTGGCAGCTCGCGAGCCGAGATAATGGCGATTGTCACAATCGCTTAGAGCTAATCTGTCCGCGGAGAGGAGGAGGACGGTGGGGGCGAGGGTGGATGTGAGGGGAGGGGCGGGGGGTTGTGGTGGTATAGTGGTGGTGGGGGGGGGGGCTGGTTGGCGGTGGTGTGGTTGAGGCGAGCCGAGCAGCGGATATACACTGATTGCCTTCTAATGGAACATGATGAGCTATTAGAGCGGACAGCGGCGCGGGGAGGGGACAGGGAGAAGGGGGGTGGGATGTGCCCAGAGCCAGTCCGCTGGGGGTGAGGGGTTGTAGGAGAGAGAGAGAGGGTGGGGGGCTAGGGGGAAGGCGCTCTTTACCTTCACAAGCCCGAGCCGACGATGTTGGAGCATGACGCGTAGCGGGTGTCGTCCGCGCGTGCTAACTCCGCGTGAGCCACGTGCTCGCAGAGCGACAGAGTCGCGGGGGGGGGGGGGCGCAGGCGGCGCGTGCGTGGCGCGTGGGAACGCGTGCAGCCGTGACCGGGGTGGGGGGGCGTCTGCGTCCCCCTCTCTCTCCCTCTTGTCCTCCATCCCTCTGTCTCTGCGTCTCTTCCCCTGTCTCTCCTCTGTCCCTCCCCCCCTCCCCTTCACATCGTTCCCGATCTATCCATGTCTCTGTTTTCACATTTCTTGTCTTTCCCCCCTGTGTGTGTGTCTTTCTCTCTTTTTCCTCTGACGCCTATCTCGCTCCTGCCCGTGAAAATGCGACGAGAGTAAGAGGCGTGTGGCTTTCTCGCGGCGGTCTCGTGTGTTCGGAGCTGTGAAGGGGGGGGGGGAGATCCGGTGAAGAGCGAGCGAGTCAAGAGATCTTTCGGCCTGGCCAGTTTCGCGGACACTGCGACACCGACACAGATTTCACAGGCGCTTCGTTAGCGCCCGGCCGAAGCGAGCGCCGATTGTCTCCCGGCGTTGGTGAACGTGTCCTCATTAGGAGCTTGTGAAAGTACGACCTTTCACGGCTTAGTTTCAATAGAATGACTTTCAGGGCTAAAGGGAGATTATGGAGGGGGGGGGGGTTGTTTGTTAAAGATCATCTCCCCTTATTTTGAGTATTCCACTCACCTTGCAATAGCATCTTATTGCTTGTGTTCGTTTGTAAATCATTTGCGAGCACGTCATCGTCATCATCGTCGTCAGGCGGCTTCAAGATAGTCGCCGGGGCTCACATCATCCGATGAAGTCCTTCCAGCCGTCTCGCCTCACCAACCCCGCGACATGGAGGCCCGGTCAGCTCCCTCGCCGTGAGAAATCAGCTCAGTGACAAGAAGAAGAAGGAGGAGGAGGAGCAGAATGAGGAAAGTCGAATGGCATTCATCGCACGAGAGCGAGGGTCGTCCAAATGTCCAATTTTCAACTCGCGAGGAGGGACAATAGTTTACAACGCGGCGGGTCTGTTCGATGTGTTCGACGTGTTCGACGATAATTAATCGGTTTCCCGTTACGACGACGCGTTGCGTTGTTGGGGGGTTTTGTTGCGTTTTATTTAAAACAAAAATGTGTACAAGTAGTAATAATAACAAATGACTTCGACGATGATAACTGTGCACTGGAAATGCGAATGTGTAAAAGTGTTTGATGTACAATCTTTGTAAGGTTTATTTATATTGTGTAAATATATTTTGTTTTGAAAAGCGACCTTTTTGTAGTCTGTGTGTGTTTTGCGTGTGTGACTTTCAATTGAAATCATTTTCCGACAATTAGGCGGACGGCGCGCGTGCTTTTAACGCGCGCGATGTTTACATTTTGGCCCGTTGCAAAAGGTTCAATTACCGTGGCAATTAAGGAGATATATTTTGAAATCGCTTCACATCGCCACGTGGGAAAGCCGATGCGCATGGAAGCGAGCGAGTGGAGCAAATGCGCATGTTTATTCCCAGTTGAAAGAAAATCGCGTTTGTGCTCTGAAATGTATTTCACGTCGAATGTTGCGCCGAATGTAATTCCAGCGCATGCCTCGTGCGCCGCTCACTTTGCCTTTCAATTAATTATCGAACGTTTGGGTCGCGATGCCAACTCACTCTTTGCCCAGATTTTTTTAATATATACATCAGCCGAGAACAACGAACGATCACTCGTCGAGCGAGTGATTTGGAACGAAGTGTCTTCGCATACAATGTACAGCACTCCGTGACGGTATACTCTATGTATTCGTTGCGCAATGTGAGTAGCGTACACATTGCTGGCAACGTCGTACGGGTAACCTACTGAATTTATACATCGCAGGGTCGCGTTCGTGGCGGCGACGGCCGTGAATAGGGCTTCGTGCAGCAGTGTATTGACCGTGGCTGCTGCTGATGACATGATGATGAACTAACTGGTTTGGGCCCTCGACCGCTTTCTCTCGGCTTCAGCGTCACACTCCACGGGAGGCGATTTGCTCGGTCAGATCACGGAGGGGGGGGGGGGTGTGTCATGTGTTATATTTAGGATGGGCTTTAGTCCGATGCTTGGAGGGGAATTTAGAACTGGGCTGGCCCTGCCCTATGAGCGAAACCAATCAGTCTCCCCGGCTGTAATGTTGGCATACCGTCTCAACCCAGACGTTTTTACCCAGTATTTTTGTACGGGGAAATTTGAGTTTTCAGGTCCATACGGCGTACAGCCGTTTCAATAGGGGCAAATGCTGTCTATTTGTTTGTGTTTCTCCCTTGTGATGGGACTTTGTAGGATGAACGTTGAGATTTCTAAGGGCACTGGGGTGACCAATAACGTCTGAATTGGTCTGTAATAAGGTAGGGCACTGATAAGGGGTTGGCAGGTATGTGTTGGTGACACAAATTGGAACGTTTTTGATTTTCGGATTTGTCTCTTTATACTACGCCGTAGCCTCGACTGTTTTTTTTCGTGCTACAAGTCAACGCTCTCGGCCCCCTTGTTGGAGTATACGATTAGCTATCGACATCCCTCGGTCGCGATTGGCCACGGGTTTTAGAGTCCCCGGTTAAGAGCAAAAGTCTCCCATCAAGGGAGGCGAGCGATATGAACCAGCACGGCTCAGTAAACTCCAGCGCAAGTTGTGATGGCCAGACGCAGGTAACGCTCGCGGGTCATGGACGTGGGCGGCTGTAAATGCTGAATGTGCCACACTCTCATCTTTTGGGGGCTCGAATTCTCATCATCCTCTCCGTCAGATTTCTTTTTTTTTAAAGGGGAAAAGCGCCGATGCTCCCATCAGAGCGCCACGAATACGCGGTGGCCCTTTGTCGATGCGGATCTGCCTTGACACGTGACGGAAGAGCACTCAATTGTTCGCGAATTGGTCATGGTCAATGGGGGAGTGGCAGGGCGGGTGGGGGCGCATTTTAGTTGGTTATCTATAAAGGATCGCGACCCGGGGCTTGAGTTTCGTAACGACCGAGGTTAGGACAATATAGATATTGTAATATTGCACCGGTATACATAATACAAATACACATCAGTCAGTACATAGATTGTAGCTCGCCAGCCAGAAGTATGTTTCCATTGCCACGTGCTTCGTTCCCGTGCCAGCGATGACGTTGTGAGCCCCAGCGTCTCGGTGGAAACGAGAAGAGCTTCAAGACAACTCCGCTTGGCTTAAAGCGGTTTCCCAAAGCTCACTAACAGACAACATACATTCATCGTATACCACTGCCTTATCACGGAGACATAGCAATATAAGCATACTGACGTTTGGTGCAATGGTCCTTCTTAAGAGCAGAGAGGCCGAAACGTCGTCAGGCCTGATCAAGTTGGAATTTCTGTCATTGTGATGTCACGTAGAGCCAGCCCCCTTATCGCCTTATTTCAAAATAAAAATCCTCACGCGTTTCGGTAATGGGAATAGTTTTGACCATACTTCAGCACGCTGGTCAGTGCGGCTTGGTGAAGGGGGTTGCTCAGAACAGTTGCGGATATCACTGCGCCGCCACTGATGTATGTTTGCCGTGACCCGGGATTCATCTTCTTGGTTCTTTCGGTAAAGTCACGTAGAAGGGAAATAATAAAATAATAAAAATAAAACATTAAATAATTCTCACGACGTTTCGGCCACAACGCAAGCAGCCGTCCTCAGGTGAAGAGCAGGTCTGTCGGAAAGACAGCGTCTGAATGAAACACCACCAGGCTTGGAGCTTATATTTAAGCTGGGTTGGAGGGGGAAGAGCGCCTTGACAAAAGAATTTGCATATCCGGGATTTCACCTCTGCACCTACCTTAGCCACTGCGCCGTCGCTCCACGCCGGGGTTGCCACACTTTGTCGTGAGTCGCCCGTCTGGAACTGTGCCCTGCTCGCTGCCGCCAACCCCGCAGCTCCTTGTTTTATTTCGTCTTGTGGGTTCGTCTCGTCACCCCCCCCCCCCTCCCCCTCACAGACAAATTCCATTGGCGACTGTGAGCGTTTGAATGCAATGACCGCGCAGCGCTTTGATTGAGCAGTCCCGGAGCGATGCCGTGTGACGTCGGCGACAGACCTGACGACTCCGAATCCGCTGCTGTTGTCTCTCTGCAACGATCGTCGGCCCATTTGGACGGGATTTCCACAATAATGAATTCGGCCACGTGAGTTCAATTCCCGGCCACAGCTGACATCTGTGGCAAGTGACATCCGAACGGGTCCTCTCTGCCGCCCCCCTATCCCCGAACTGAAAGGCGTGTTGAAGTACGGACCGACACGGGGTTAAGGGAGGCCTCTGTCCAGCAGTGGATTGACACAGGTCTGTAAAAATAGACGTTTTATTTAAGCAGCGGACGGCTGCTCTATCTGTTGCGCATTACAAGCGCGAGTGTTCATCTCAAAGTCGGCGAACTGGCGCATAAAGCAATGCGTGACCTTGATGAATCTGCGCTATTTATTTTGACATGGTCACATTCATATGCGACGCCTTCGGTCCGTCAGTATTTGCAAGGCTCTATCCCGGGAGATTGTTTTTGCGTCGCTCCTCAAACCGCACGACAAAAAAACCACCACCTCTTTCGCGGCGCACGTAGCTTCATCGGTCACTCGGAGATGGCCTCTTTCGTCGCGAGCGAGTCATTCAACTCGGGACACACGTGGGGAAGACACTGGGAGTCGCGGCTGGTAAGTGAAAGGTGCGGTGTTGTGG